AAAATACAGCTGTAAATTGAAACCACTGTAGTTGTGTATCGTGAGCAATAAGTGGCAACAATGTCGGGCGACAATGAATTCAGGCGATTGACACATTGCTATGAATACACTGGATAACTGCTTGCAGACTTCCAGTGGTCATTGTTTATGTTTGGACTCATGAAACAATAGCAAAATAAAGGGTTGGGCAACTACTCTTTTGTTTAGGCTTGGGAAGAACAATGCAAGCTTTTTACAAATAATTTCAGCTGGATGTACGTTGGTGGGCAGGTGTTGAGAGTAACTAGGCGGCCGTACAACTTGATGGGCGGGCCGCCCACCTAAAACCCCTTGTGGAGAACACTGAGATACTAAAGATTTAATTACGTTTTTTTTTTCTGTAGCAGGTACGCCGAACTATCACGCATGTCACATGATAAAGGTCACAGAAATCCCAATATGTACATTGAATTGAAAAGTCGCCATGATATGCCAGCACATCGTCCTGCATCACACAACCATACAGCTCGGCCTTCAAGCACAGATACAAGTGTCAACGCTACTCCTATTGATGCCGTATCTAACTGGAATGTAGACGACGTAGTCCAGTTTGTTTCCTCATTAAATGGATGCGCTGAATATGCACAGGTTGGTTTTGCACCAAATCATGTCCAAATTGTTAAAATATGTTTAAAAAAATTGTCATCGCTGTTTTCACATCATCATATTATAACTGCAATAGACAATACTAACCTCTTTCAGTATGTTAAAAGTAACACAATCAAACTTGCACATACTAACAACGATTTTCAAAGAGTCTGTGAATGGTGCAGCGCTAACAAACTTACAGTCAATGACTATGATTATTATGACTATTAAAACACCTCATAAACACCTGGGCATTGAGGGCAGCTTGGATATACCGTATTTATCCGGGTATAAGCCCAGGGTCTTGAACATGGAAAATTGCCAAAAAGAAGGGGTGGGCGTTTGCCAGGAGATCCTCGGCAAAAAAAAAGAAAATTGACAACACGCAGATCGAACTGCGGCAGGGAATAGAACGGCAAATGAAAACATGCAACGGAAATAAATGAACAATATGCAACATTAGAAGTAAAACAAAATTAATGTATTGCTTATAATGTGACAAATAAACCAGAAATAATAAAAATCGACAGTGAGGAATCATTTGAATTAGGATTTTCCCGCCGACAAACATGCCCAATACGCGTGAACTCAAAACAAATTAAAATGTCAGGGGTTAAACTGCGTAAAATGATTTCCGGTCTCGACAAATTACGAATCAACCGTCATACAAGATCAATAATAATTTACAAATTTACACAGTAAAAATTATAAAAATTCATAGCTGTTTGAAAAAACTTCCCAGATCTTTATTTGTACGTTCATTGCCATCTTCGTCAAACTCAAAACCCTCAAAGTCCAAGTCGGCGTCACTGTAGCCGTTGAACAAAATCCCTACAACTTATTCTTGAAGTTCGTCGATATCGTCCCACACAATTTGGGCTTAGCACTTTTAATCCACGGATTTCGCAGTCTGTCAGCTTGGCACTTTTCATTCATGTCTAATCATAATGAAGAGGCAAGAAAAATGGGGTCGCTCTGCTGCATTGGCACAAGATGCTTTTGTTTACAGTTTAGCAATCATCTTTGACCTTTGTGCATCTGCTTTACTGATTGGCTAAGAATGACATCACTACTAGTATTTCATCATAAAGGTCAAATCGTGACATTGCTTTCTTATCAGACTCGACGCTTATTAATCACGGTTAAAGTTATCATTCAGCAAGTTCCGGCGGTTGGAATGTCTCACTATATGGATATCGCGGTGAACTTGAAATAGGAAGTTTTTTTTTTTATCCAACGACAGAAGAATAGTTTTCATGACAGCAATGCAATAGCGGTGATAAAAGATGGTAAAAAAGTTGGCAGTCTTCGGCGTGACATTGCAAAATTGCTGGCCCAGTTATGGATTCGCAAGCTGCTTCTAAATATTTATAAATCTAAAATAACGTGATTTCAACCAT